CCACCCCCCCCCCATCCGCACCCACCCCCACCCCACACCCACCCCCACCGCCACACCCATCCGCACCCACACCCACACACACCCACACCCACCCATACCCACACACCCACACCCACACCCACACTCATATCCCACACCCACCCTCACGCCCACACCCGAAAATAGAGTCATGCGTTCTATCTTCTGCGAAAGACTCTTTACGAGGTGTGCTCCTTGTCTAATACTAGCATTGTTCGTCTTGATCCCAGCAGAGTAGAACTCAAAGCACAAACGCGTTGGTTGGTGGAAAAATAAAAATGTGCATTATATGTTCTTGAATGTGATGTGCAATTTGTGCTGCCTAGAGCTGAGAATGCCCGTCTTTTGTTTCTGTTTCTTTTCTACCTGTCACATAAACTCGCACAGAGAGAGAGAGAATTAAAGTGTATAAGCACAATGTTTCTTTCAGTTCTCTTTTTTGATGATGATAGAATTTTTTTGTGTTTGTTCGCTTTTTTAAATAAACAGAAATAATGAAAGTTTCAATCAATTATTCATTGAATTGTTTTTTCGCATGGAATAAGCCAAGTTCATAGTTCTTCACTTTTTTTTAAAGATTTTATACTCACCGATTTTTAAACTGAGTGGAACTCGTCATAAGTAAGAGTATAAAAATGTCACACCATATAATCTGGCTGGATCAAACATATGATTGTAATGCCCCTAAGGTGAAGAATACAACTCACATTACTCTGGCCAAGATTGATCCATATCTCGTTACATTTCGAGACATACATAAATGCATTGTTTACATTACGAATAAAAATGACGACGAAAACGGAATAATCCTGATAATTTCAAGCGCCAACACACATGCTGCATCGTTTAATACAGTCTTAACACTTTGCGAGACACTCCAAAATTGATTCAATTTACGTTATATCTGAATCATTTGAAATGATGGCTGAATACTTCGAAACATCGACGAAGTTACGTTCTCTTTTTACAAGTCCGCAATTATTATATGAGGAGTTTAATAATCAACTACCAAACTTTCGGCGTCACAAAAGAGATGGTTATGTACGCAATGATTTTATAATTAATATACTACCACATGCTGCTGAAGATTCTGCTTCCTCTCATGTAGCTACTTCAACCGGTACACATCCATTCTTACCACCTGTTGAAAACCGCGAAAAACAGGAAGCTGAGTTCATGTATTCACAATTCTTACGAGATATTTTGATTAGCATAGACGATTCACCATCATCAGTAGAAGAAATGGTAAAGTTTTTTCGTAAAAAATGTACCTCAGCCGATTCGAATATTATCGAAGAGTTTGAAAATTACTATGCCCCATGTAACGCCATCTTCTGGTACACCCGTCCCACATTTCTCTATCAGTTGCTAAACAAAGCACTGCGCGAGCAAGATGTTGATATACTCTATGCACTGAGATACTTTATTAAAGATCTTCATTTTCAGTTAAAAGAACGACATCAAGAAGAGCAGAAACTGTCTGTTGTGAAAACTGTTTTTCGAGGGCAGTTGATGACTGAGGAAGAATTCGACAGAAAAATTCGACATAACATTGGGGGTTTCTTGTCAGTCAATAGTTTCTTTTCGACGACTTCAATCAGGGACTTATGTCTAACGTATGCTGGTGATGGTAGTAGATTCCCACTCTACAAAGAGTATAGTGTAGTATTTGAGATTAACCTCGACAGAAACGTCAAAAAGTTTCCCTATTCAAATATTACTACTGAAAGCGTTTTCAAAGAAGAAGAAAGTGAAGTTTTATTCACAATGGGAGCAGTGTTCCGTTTACTGTCTGCTGTTGAAGAATCTAAAGGTTTTTGGACTATTCAGTTGCAACTGACTGATGAAGAAGATGAAACACTGAAGAAACTAGCGGAACATATGAAAGACGATGTATTCGATGTAACACCGATTGTAAGTTTGGGAAATCTCATGCTAATCTTGGCAAAATATGACAAAGCTGAACAATATTACCTGTCGCTGCTTAATGATCCTAATTTTACAGCAAAATATCCCGATCATGAATATGTTTATGATTTCTTGGGACTAATTTACGAGAAGACTGGTCTGCTTGGAAAAGGTGTTGAATATTTGGAAAAATCACTTGAAATGAAATTAAAACAATATTCCGCAACCGATCCCCGTTTAGGTCCTACGTATAATAACCTGGGAGAGATCTGTCGTAAACAGGGCGACTTTGAAAAGGCACTAACTTATTCCAATAAAGCTTTGGAAATAAATTTAAATGAACCCAATCCAAATGAGTATATACTCTCTATCGACTATAATAACATTGGATCAGTGTATGATGATCAGAAGCGTTACGCAGAAGCATTGGAAATGTATAAGAAATCGCTCGAACTCAGAATGAAAGTTCATCCGCCAAATCATCCTTCCATTGCCACAGTATACAACAACATCTCACAAGTTTATAGCTCACTCAAAAAGTACGATGAAGCAGTTGAGTATTTGAACAACTCACTTCAAATTCGTTTAAGCTCCCTTCCACCTAATCATCCGTCGTTAGCTACAATCTACAACAACCTCGCTTCCACATTGTATAAGCAAGGTAAAGTAGAAAAAGCTTTGCAACACATAAAGACAGCGTATGAAATTTTTTCAAATAATTTCACACCTGATCATTCGCTTGTTATCAGAGCTCGTGAATGGATTACTCTTATGGAGAAAGAAACCAATGAAAATACGAAGGAAGAAATTTAAAACTAATATTATTGCTTCTCAATTGCGATGGATTTCTAGTGTGTCTTTTTTGCCACATCTATGCCACTTCTCCACAATAAAAGGTTCATTGTAATATGTTCTATCCACAGCTGCATTACACCGATGAGTGTGGGTGTGGGTGAGTGTAAGTGTGGGTGTGGGTGAGTGTAAGTGTGGGTGTGGGTGAGTGTAAGTGTGGGTGTGGGTGGGAGTCAGTGTGGGCGCGGGGGGGAGTCAGCGCGGGCGGGGGCCAGGG